TGTTTATCGCGTTCTCCTCATACAACCTCAAAATATGTTTTAGAAACTTGAAGAACACCCATATATAAAGATTGAACCATACCTTTGTAGAAGTAGCTAGTTGCTTGTGTTCTTGCACTTAGGCAGGAATAACAACGCCCCATATTCATATATAGTTGGCCCTTCACAAAATTTAATATATAAAATCGTATAAATAAAGAATCAACAAGACTGAACCAGTACTAACTAGGCATGTATACTTGTATAAATAACTCCCTCATCTCAAACTGAGCATCCCCCCCCCCCCAAACTAGAAAGGCTCTCCTTCAAGAAAAAAGTTATATAATAGTAAGGAAAAAAAAGTATTTTAAAGAGCAGCAATGGTAAAAGTCAGATCATTGAGCTGCTGTCACACTATAAAACTGGAAGTTAGACTGATACCCTGGTAGATAGTCCAAAAGCATGCCACATGCCATTTCTAAAAGGGACATTTATGTGGGAAGGAGCAAGAAAAGACACAAATGGAAATATTAAAGAACACCAACATACAAATATCTTACACACTCGACAGCAAGCCTTACCACCGTGTGACTAGCGTCACAATCTTCAAAAGAAACAAAAAACAATAGAGAACACACAACTTAAAAGAAATGATTAGCTTTGATAGAAATAAAAAATTATAGAAAACTAAGGAATTCAAAAGAACATTAAGAAATTACTAACACGCATTTTATGATCAAGGAATCAAGATAATGCTTCTGTTGTTGGTTACAGCTATACAAAAGAGGAATTGGAAAAGGTCATAGACTATAATTGTGAGAACAGACAAGATAGGTAGCTGCAGCTAAACATCTTTTGAGGCACAAAATGAAGGAACATCAATGTTCTTTTGTTTAACCATATTGACCACCGAATGGCTAATGGTAAGTTTGTATATTAGAAGTTCCAGCACATGGAGAAGTGCTCGGAGAAGGCAGCATGCCAACACCCAAAGCACAACGCATGTAGCAGAGGCAGACCTAGGAATTTTTCCAAGTGGTGGAACAATTTGACTATAAGAAGTGAAGAAATGGATGGAATTTTTTCAAGTAGTGGCACAATTTGACTATAAGAAATGAAGAAATGGATATTTTTCAAAAAATTGCCAGTGGTCAGTTAGTTAGTTTCTTGCTTTTCATATGTGAGGTCCTGTGTTCGAGTTTATTTATCACAGTTGTTCTTCAAGAACATAATAAATCTGAAATTAAAAGCTAAAAACTAAGTAAATGACATAAATGGGATTCGAACATGCACCTGGGATGCGAGAAAAGCTTTGCTAACCAACTCTACCAAGGAAAATTTGTGTTCTCCTTGTAGTTTTAAATATATACGGTTACACACACAAAATGATACAGTGGCACCTTTCACAACCCTAAAATAATTTACACTATGATGGAGGAACGAAGAGGTGGGCCGTGCCACTGTATCCACTAGTGTTGGTCCACCCCTGGCATGTAGATAGCCTAGCTCACTAGATCTAAACATCTAGGAATCTTTCTATAATCCTTAATGAGCTCATATGGTATAAGGGGTTCTATCATCTATGTGATTATTTCAGATTTAAAGAAGAGAAGCAGCAGCAATGTACATTAACATGATCACAAAATTTCAGGAACCTATGTGTATTTAAGTGCTTTTAAATATGTAGTACCATTATCTCTTTAACCATAAAGTCTCCGATCTTAAACTTCTATTTGCTACACCATCGCCTATCTCATCTCCGTGGTAGCAACGAAAATATGGCTTAGCTATCTCACCCTCATTCTTCTTCACCATCCCCTTTCCTGTTCTGCTCACGAGCTTCCCTCTCAATTAAATCATAAGGCACCTGAGAGCCAAGGGTCTACCTAGGTTAAACTTTCCGAGAATGATGATTCCCTCGCATAGCAAGGCATCTCTTTACCGGTACTCTTAGCACCATCCATTGGGAACCCTTCATACAATGCGATGGTGGCAGTGGCGCGGTAGTCATGTTGGTGTTAGCGGCAGCAATGGTTTCYGATGAACAYATCCCAACCAATTTTTCTCATATGCTGTTAATGCMACCACGTCTATCGAGAATTTGAAWGTCTGCATTAACATTTAACACAAGTCATGCCAGTTAAAACAACTYAATTGGGCTTGRGCCATTTCAGATCGAGTAATCTTGGCTTTGGGGATATCGCTACTTTTTCTTCCTTCGACCAATCCCTCATGATCAATCCCTGCTCTGCGACCTTTGTTCGGWTCAATGGTGGAGAAAAGAAAGATGGTGGAAGCAACTCGAGAGTCGAGATGGTTGCTATCAATCTCCATCACTCCTCTTTGGTACCGTATCCTCCTCCCCCAGCAGTTTCAGATCCCACTTGAAGGACTCGGCAGCGGCTATGGAYAAAATGCTGGTCAGATCAGTTTTGACTGTACCCAAACCGATTTCATTGGCTTTCAGAATAATCGAGTTCATCCTTAGCTTCTTGAGTCCTCTCCCCTTACCTTCTCCTCCTCCCTTGTTTCTATTCACCATTGAGATCACGAGACAGTCATGACAATGATCTCATATTCGTCCAAAGACAACCTCCTTATTCAAAGTGAAATCTCAGAAAACGAACTCCAACAGTGGAGATTTTCCTGGTTCGGGTGGGTTGGCTATGCATAACCCTACCTAAGATGGGTCGTGCATAAGTCTTTGTGAATAGTAGAACAAAATCGGGCATTCATTGTCACCACCTCTTCCAGTTTCTCATTGAACACAACCATCTGGTCCTGCATTTGTTGTTCACAGAAATGGTGGATCAAACTCCAAATAGCCCCTTCTCCAACAGGACCAACACTTTTACCCGCTATGTTATGGTACTCAAGGCCATATTCAGAACTGCTCTAATACCAATTTGTTGTGACCAATAAAAATAGAAAAACGTGAAAGAACAACCGTTAGGTGCTTCAACTGACGAGAAAGGAAAGGTTTCTCGCTTTTAGAGAGGCTAGCGGCTCTCCTATGAACATGCTCTAAATATTTTCTGAATGCTTTTTCCTCACTCCCACCCTCTCCCTATTTATTACGAGGCATCACAAGGATACCCATTCCCCTTCTCACCCCTACTACTCTAAAAACCCTGAATTGCTCCTTCTAGAATATAACCTTCTGGTTGGCTTGAGGTGGGTGCCTAACAGATGGTTACATGTAAGGGGAGACAGAAGACCATTTGCAAGAAGAGGGGAATCACGGAAGATAAAAGGCAATTTTCAGGTTGTGATTTTTGACAAACTAGAATGAGAAAGAAACATGTGAAAGAATAGATACCAAAGAAAATATACCACAACAGGTTAAATGAGGGTATTGACATACTTTGTTGCCACCATCATTCCCTTCTACCATCAGGTAGTACTTCAATGCAGATCCATGGTGCTTAAGACTCATGAATGAGTTTGCAACATCAATAATTAGATGACGGCAATCATTTACATYGTCTTCTGTAAAAACACTGAAGAAAGCCTACACGTTATTTGACAATAAATAACATCAGCTTCAGATAAAAAGCTAAAAGCCATTGTATAGGAACATCTGAAAGCTTGATTATATGTGGTGCATATTTGTGGAAGGCTAGAAGATAATACAGAAGCAAGGAATARATAGTGAACTAAATCTAAAAAATGAAAAATGTAGAATAAGAAGGGTTATAGACTGACAAAAAGAAACCATATAAATCAAACCTCTGCTTTTTCCATGTCTCCAAGATGAACATGGCATATTCCTGCTTGTATCADTAACTCAACTGGTAATTCTTTACCAACGGAATAAGTCTGTTGTGCATACTCAATATAGTGAAGAGCTTTCTCATGGGCATTTCCTGACATAAGCACTGAAGCCAATAAATGAACTACACTCAGATCAGCRTCATTTGGGTTCTTTTTTAAATAGTCTTCAAGTACGTTGATACTGCGTTCATGCTGRCCACATTTTTGGTACAACTGGAAAATAAGCAAAAAGTTAATTGCCACTAATTAGGCCATTACTGGAAACCAGAGGACCTCTTTCTACCTGCAAAGCTGAAAAATAACTGGAACATGGAAAACCCATCTAGAAACTACCTAACAAACAATCATCAAAACAACAGAGGAACAAGAAATAAAACATGAGAAACATGTACAAAAAAAAAAAAACCATAGGGCCTTTGGCCCAGCGGTACCTAGGTCACAGGTAGAGCCTACCTCGCATTAGGTCTAGGGTTCAAACCTTAAAAAAGGTGAGGAGGGTGTGTGAATTCATTTTCCATATTTAAATATCATATACTTCAAGACAAAAACATGTACGAAAAGATGCAAGTTACTTATCCAATAATGCGTAGGAAACCAAGTGCCCCCACTTACACACAAGCATTGCATAACCAGGAGCAATTGGAAGTTAGACCAATCAAAATGCTGTCAAACAAATAGGTCATCATTCTAAAGAATGACGAATAGGAAGAGCAGCYATATATAAAAGCAGCTACTTTCATTGGCCCCACTTACACTTTGGATTTGCGAAGAAGTTCCGCCTATTGTGCAGTCTTAGTGTTCACTTGAAATATGGAACCGCACAGCCATATATAAGAGCAGATACTCTCATATCAGAGCAATTGTAAAGAAACACAGCTTAAGGCTTATGTCATGTGAGAGATTGCTTGTAAAGAACACAATTTAAGTAAATATGCATATCAGAATATATGCACATAGATCAGTGGTTCCAAACCTTTGCTGCTGTTTTCAGTGCTTCAATATTCTTAGGACGAAGTTTCCATATTTGCTCATATGATTCAGCAGCCCTCTGATGTTCTCCAAGCTCAAGAAAAAGCGAGGCACGGTGATATCTAAGACYCATATCTTCAGGATCTGCTTTTATTGCTTTGCCAAGACAATATCGGGCTTGTCCACGGTATCCTTGTTCCCTGCATGATTGAGACTTGTATAATCAGATTTATCATTCTTTGCATCTAAAAACCCAAGGGAAGCTTTGTTAGAGACACAATACAGAGAAGCAAAATCTCAAACTTATAAAATTAGCTAGTAAGGGTGAATCTAGTAACTGTTTGCAATATATCATTTTAAAATCAAGATAGCAAGTCCAATATAAACTATRTAACCCCAGTATCTAGTACCAGTATGATGGATCATTAGGTGGTTGGGTATGAACCCATGCCAGATGACATTGAACTCTTTAACTCTTTTATCTTGATGTCAAACACTAGTGGAAGAGAACATTAGGTGGTTAACGGGGGATGGACCCATGTGAATGACATTGAAGCCTTGCAGATCCTTTTTACCCCACYGTCAAACATTAGTAAGATAGACCCCTATGTGTTCTCATATCTGGTCGATGAACCWTGTATACTGTAATTGGGAACTATGAGGGCAAACCCAACTCTATATTGATATATCATGTGGCACRTCAGCACAGAGGATGATGTAACTTGATTTAGAGGATTGCTCTTTCTTACATAAAGGTGCAGACGATTCGAACTTGCTGTGTGTTCACATGCTTTTAGGATGAAGTCCAGGTATTTTTAATTTATTGCAATATTAATATATGTGTGTTATATATAAACAAATTGGACCAAGTGTGTGTTTGGTTACAAGACTGAGTGCAAGAAGGTCCCAAATTCATTYAACCCCGTGTAATGCTTTTCTTAACATCGTTCAATTACCATACAAGTACAGAATTGCACAGCCTTTCTAAACACAAAAGCAACCAACATAAGGACGGACTTGAGGTCAAGTTGTACCCCTTGGACAAGAATCATGGACAAAACACATTTCCAAAATATATTCGGTGACATGTGAAAAGGCAATGAAATTAGGCA